GGTGTGAGAAAGACCCATACTTGCTACTGTTGGGTCCAGTGTCTTTATGGAACAGGCAGAGAAGGCTTAGTACAGGAGGTGACATCTGAATGAAGACTTAAGGAAGGAAGGAGTTTGCCTGGGGAGACTGCCTAGTGCCAATTCCTGCAGCCTAACCCCAGGGGGTAGCATAGGTCTCCCTAGAAGGTGAGTGACTGGACTCTGATCCCACATGTTCTTTCTCTAGGAGTTGAGCAGACCTATGAGAAGAATACGGGGTCATTTCCCTCACTCTGCTTCCAGAACTGGGGTCCTAAGAACTTGGTGGTAGGGTGATAGAGGGAAGGACTTGCTAGTACTTTCTTAGAAGACCAGGGCTATGGCCTTTGTAAGCTGCTCTCAAAGAAAATGATGGCATCTGGATATTGCCTTAGCATCTAGCATGGTCCCAGAGGTGGGAGCATGCTGCAGTAGCTGACTGACCCTCTGTTTGTGCCTGCAGACAGCACTCCATCTGGCTGTTCATCTGGACCAGCCGAATGCAGTTCAGGCCCTGGTGCTGAAGGGGGCCAGCCGGGTGCTACAGGATCGGCATGGTGACACAGCCCTACATGTGGCATGCCAGCGCCAGCATCTGGCCTGTGCCCGCTGCCTGCTAGAGGGGCAGCCAGAGCCAGGCAGAGGAACATCTCACTCCCTGGACCTCCAGCTGCAAAACTGGCAAGGTTTGGGTAGCCCCAGGGCCTTTGGGGAAGAGGAGAGGGCAGGAAACAGGGACCCCACTCCTAGGAAAGGGGGAGAGAGACCCAGCTTGTCTGTTGATGTTCCTCCAGCTCTAAGCACCTAGACACTTAGTACATCTTTGCTAGATGAAGGAATAGATGATGGATGAATGATTTGATTCAGAATTGACCCAACACCTACTGAGTGTTGAGCAGAAATCTAAGTTTTGTCCTTAAAATATATAGTTTAATAGAGATTAAATGAACTCCTTCATTCATTCAACAGAAATGTCCTGAGTGCCTTTCTGTGTGCCAGATTCTACCCCAGTAGCTCAGCTCCCATCTGAAAATAAAAATGAGAAAGATAGAGATGGACAATAAATATAAGAAGTGAATTATATAATATGTTAGAAGGAAGTAAGTGCTATGGTAGAGGGAGTAGAGCAGAGGGAGGGGAACTGGAATGTTTGGGGGGGGGGGGGGTTGATGTGATTTTTAAAAAAACGGTAGTCAGGAAAGGCCAGGGTAATTTGAACAAAAACTTGAAGGAGATAAAGGATGTATATTTGAATCTGAATCTCTATTATAAGCAGAGAGTGGGGGAGGGAGAGTTATAGACCAGAAAGGAGATAAGCAAAGAAAGGCGGGGCACACAGAAGGAAGTGGCCCCTGGAGAGAGTCTGGGGCTTGAGGATCGCCAGATGGCTCCTCGGAGAAATCTGGATTGAGCTTGAAGGCAAGTAGAGTTCTAGAGTATTTGTGGGCTTGAGGGGTATGTGCCCTGGAGGAGGGTGTGTTTGGGGGCTGTCATTCAGCAGCCTGACCCCTGAAGCATGAAAGTTTCAATAACATGACTGAAAGGTGGAAACTTGCAGTTCCTTTCCCCTCAGACTTTTGAGGGGGTTTTCGGGGTTGCATTTTAAGAGTCCTGTGATTAAAGGCATTGAGTGGGCAGGAGTCCCTTGGGGCTGAGGGTTAGGGAGGTCCCTGAAGAGAGTGAAAGAGAGCTCTGAATGCCAATCAGTGTCCCTACCCACCTTACCCCAGGTCTGGCCTGTCTTCACATTGCCACTCTGCAGAGGAACCAGCCTCTCATAGAACTACTGCTTCAGAATGGAGCTGACATTGATGCCCAGGTGAGGTAACCCATCAAGGCACTGCCTGCTCATGGCACCTGACCCAGCCTTGCCCCTGCAAGTTCCCCTACCCCACCTGGCAAGTGGTGCCTCTGCTCTCCTCCCAGATCCCACTGCCACTTCAGGGCCTTGGCTGATATCCTTATGCCTTTCCAGGAGGGCACCAGTGGGAAGACAGCATTGCATCTAGCTGTGGAAACCCAGGAGCGGAGCCTGGTACAGTTCCTACTCCAGGCTGGTGCTCAGGTAGATGCCCGCATGCTCAATGGGTGTACACCGCTGCATCTGGCAGCTGGACGGGGCCTCAGTGGCATCTCATCCACTCTGTGTGAGGCCGGCGCTGACTCCCTGCTGCTGAATGTGGAAGATGAGACACCGCAGGACCTGGCTGAGGATGTACGAGGCATAAACTTCTCCATTCTGGTTCCAGGGCCTCTCACACCCATAGCAGAGATAGGGACTGTCAGTAGTTGGAAGGACCAGAGAGTTAGGAGTCTTGGGGTACAACCGGGACTCTGCCACTTACCAACCAGTCATGGACCAACCTTTATCCCTCTCCAAACCGATTTCCTTAGTTGATCAGGACCAAGAGCCCCAACTTTATACTCCTACAGGGGCTCCACAACTAGCGTGAATCAGTAAAGCTGGCCAGGTATATGACCAGCAAGTGGTGAGGCCTGGGAGAGAGCAGAGAGCCATACCTCGGGGTCTCTCCTTGGCTCCAGCAAATGCTTAGGCATAGGAATGTAGGCCCCATGTTTCTAGGTCTTGGAAATTTTCAAGAGGTGAAACCCAGGTTTTCTGTATAGTCTTCCTGTTTTTAAATGTTAAGTATAAAACAAATGTTCAGAATGTTGTACCCCCCACAACAAAAGTAGATCCAGATCTATATCATCTTTTATTTTTTAAAATTTAGATATCCTTAGTTGTAGGTGGACGCAATACCTTTATTTTAGTTTTATGTGTGCTGAGGATGGAAGCCAGGCGAGTGCTCTACCACTCAGCCCCAGCCCCAGCCCCCGCCCCCAGAGCTAGATCATCTTTAATGTCCCTCCTAGCTTGGATATTCTGGCATCATTTTAGAGATTGAAGGCTCTGCCATGTCAGGAGGCCTTCATTAGTATAAAGATGTATTCCCTCAAGTTCTTCAACTCTGGTGAGGAGGGAGTGGCCCAACAAGTTTCCCTAGGTTTCCTCCACTACTGACTTTTCTCATGGCCACTGATCTTGCTTCTCTCTATTCTCTTTCTCAGCCCCTTATTCTTTTGCCCTTCGATGACCTGAAGATCTCCGGGAAGCCGCTGATGTGTGTTGACTAAAGCCAGGACAGGAAACTGGGGCCACTGTTGCTGCAACCTGGGCCCAGTGTGCCCTTCTGGTGCCCTAGGGACTACTGAAGCCAGAGCCTGGAGCCAGTATGGTTCTGAGTGAGGAAAGAGATTGCAAGTCAGAGAGAGCCAGGCTGGAAGAAAGAGCTTCCCAGGTGGACTGGATGGAGATTCTTGAGAGGCGCCTAAGCCCCAGGCATCCTGGGTGAAGTCTCTTTACCTCTCTTGGAGATGGCAGGGCTCTCATTTCTACCTGTCGGGTCAGTTTGAAACTGCCAACCAGTGGGAAAATGTGGAGGCTTCTGAGTGAGGAGAGACTGAAATAGAAGAAGCAGGGCCCTGAGGGGTCCCACCTTACTGCTATTGAAGATTCCAAAACACTCTTGTCTAAAAACTTTTAACAGAAGGCCCTGAACTGAGCCTTTGAGAAGGGGACATTGCAGTAACATAACACTAAAGTAGCAGAGACTTTTTTAAAGTGTTTTCCTCCTACCTGGGTGCAGTGGTACAAACCTCAGAGGCTGAAGCAGGAGGATCACCAGTTTGAGACCAGCCTCAGCAATTTAGCAAGACCCTGTCTCAAAATTAAAGAAAAAAATAAAAAGGTGGGGAATACAGCTGGTAGAGCACCCCTGGTTCAATCCCCAGTGTTAAAGGGTTGGGGGGGTCTTCCCTTCTAGAGTTGTTTTGTGCATGTGCATAGGCAGATCTGCTCTGTGACCTTTTGATAAAAGCAAAGAGAAGAAAATTATCCCCTGGGTGTGATAAGGAGCTAATAGTCCTCAGGCTTGTCGCTGTCCAGTGCAGACCCTTGTCCTTTTGTGGAAATGAGGGATGAAGAGAGAGGAAGAGGAATGAGAAGACACAGGCCCTGGAGGCTGCCATCTGGAGTAGCCAGAAGAGGCTAGGCACCAGAAACCTGCAACTTTTTACATATTTTATACCAGTGAGGCCTACATTGGCATGAAGAAAGGAGGAATAAACCAACATGGTCTCTGACTTTTAGAGCTTATAGTGAGACAGCCTCACTCATAAACATTAAAATCATAAATATCCAAATATAATTACAAAGTGCAGTGGGTGCTGTGAAGGGAAACACGAGGAGGAAAGAGGACAGTAAAGTGGGTGAGAGACCTTTCTTTGGATGTTCCAGGGACGCCTCTGAGGAGAGTCATCTCATTGGGACATAGGATGAGTAAGTGATGGGGTAGAGCATTTGGGTGGGGGAAAGCCTTTGGAGAATTAGAGGAACTGAGAACAGACCAGCGAGGCTCTACAGGGCCTGGGTAAGTGGGCGAGGAAGATGGGTCAGTTAGGTCATGCGGAGCCTCAGTGGTCACGGGGACGAGGGGGACAGAATTACTGGCCCAACCAAAGAAGGAAGGAGACATCTTCATCCTGTCAGAACATGGGAGAACTAGTGGGGTGTGTTGCTTCTGAGCCCAGCGATTTAGGAGGCTGAGAGAGGCGGATCCAAGTTCAAGAGCAGCCTGGCCAATTTAGTAAGACCCTGAGTTAAATCCCTAGTACCAAAAAAAAAAAAAAAAAAAAGTTGAAGAATGACATAAAGGGGCAGTATTTGGGACACAGAGACTCGACGTCCCAGTCCACAAGAGGGCAGTGGTCACCCTTATTCCCAGGATGGTGAGGACTGAGAGCGACGACACCCGGGGGAGGCGTCGCTCCTGGGCTGGGGCTCTGGGCTCCTCCGCCCAAAAGCAGCCCAACCTCTTGGAACCCAGCTTCGTCTGCCTCCAGGCCGCGCGGGGGCGCTGTAGCCCATCGCGGCCGGGGCGCTGCGTGGTAGCGGCAGGGGGCGGCGGGGGGCGGCCTCCGGGAGGGAGGCGCCAAGAGCGCGGCACTTCCGCTAGCCGCCCGCTCGCTGGCTGCTAGCGGAGGCGGCGGAGGGTACGCGCGGCCCGGGGACTCGCATTCCCCGGTCCCCCTCCGCCCCACGCGGCCCGGGTCATGGACACCAGGTGGGAGGACTAGGGCAGCGGTAGCGCACATGATCGAGCCCCTGGGCCACGTGATCGCCGCTTTTCGGCACTGGGGGCCGGGTGGGGTCCCAGCCGCCAGGCAGCCGGCCCGCGTGGCGCTGCACGGAGCCGTGCTGACGGGGGCGCGGCGTGAGCTTGTGCTCCTTGAGGGACTTGGGGGAGTGAGGAGAGAAGGAGCTGGGGACCTTGGCGGTCCGGGAACGTGGGAGGCGGGATGGGGGGAGGGGGAGCTGTCTCTGGCCAGAGCAGCCTGGGCGCGCTGGAGGGAACAGAGGAGACCTGTGTGACCAGAGAGGCGGGTCCGCCCCCGGGGAGGGAGGAGGCCCTGCCTGCCCGCCCCGCGCCTAACCCCCCAAGACAGAGAGAGGCTCTTTGTCCCGCTGGGCTTAAGCGGAGGGGGCGGGGAGAAGACGAGGCACTTATGTGCAGTCCCCTTCTTTGGGCCAGGGGGCTGGAGGACTGCATTCTAATTCTTATGTCCGCGCTCCCAGCAGGTGGTGGGCAGTGGTGGTACTGGCTGCGCTCCCTTCCCTGGGTGCTGGTGGGGAGACTCCTGAAGCCCCTCCGGAGTCATGGACCCAGCTGTGGTTCTTTCGCTTTTTGGTGAATGCTGCTGGCTATGCCACCTTTATGGTACCTGGCTACTTCCTGGTGCATTACTTCAGGAGGAAAAACTACCTGGAAACAGGTGTGTGGAGAGAGGGTGGGGAAGAGGGCTAAGTGTGAATTGCAGGTGTTGGTTCAAACCAGAATGTGACTTGGAAAGGGAAGGAGGGGGGAGGCCAATAGGCTGGACAGCAGGGCAGGTTGGCTGCTCTGGGGAAGTTGAGTTGCTGTGGAGGAGGTTTGGGACTTGACTATATGTGTCTTCTTCAGGCAGGGGTCTCTGCTACCCCCTGGTGAAAGCTTGTGTGTTTGGCAATGAGCCTAAGGCCTCTGATGAGGTTCCCCTGGCTCCACGGACAGAGACAGTGGAGACCACCCCCACTTGGCAGGCCCTGAAGCTGCTCTTCTGTACCTTGGGGCTCCAGGTAGGTAGGCAGGCAAGCTCTGCTTCTTGTCCTGGATTGAGCTCAGTGGGCAGGGACTTGTGAACTCAGTTTTCATTCTGTCCATCTCAAAGGTTTGCGGGTCTGTGTGTTATGTGTCCCTTTCTCTCAGACACACAGAGCACCATCTTCAAAATGTTTGGAGGAAGCAGTGACTTTCCTTTCTTCATCCTCTCTGCTTCTCCAGCATTGATACTGCAAGTAACAATGCACTATTGTTTTATGATGTCTAGAGCAGAAGAGGGCTCATCTCTTTTCCAAGATTTTGGTGACATCTATTGTGCTGTTATCATACTTCCCTCTCTCCTGATGTGCTTCATACACTGTAAACCCACTGATAAAAAAGATTGGGGAAGCCATTCAGTACTACATGAGAAAGGGGTCCTAAGGCACTGTGTGGAATTTTAGAGTGGGTACTAGTCCCCTTTTTTGGAGCATGTTGAACTATATAGGAGTCAAACTCTGTCTTTTTGCCTCCCTGAGTTTGAAAGTAGGTAAGAGAACACTTTGGATGGAGCTAACTAGTGTTCTCATACTGTGGGAGCAAACAGGGTCCAGGGAGTTCTAAAGCATGTGTTAATGTTTTTCACCACAGTGAATTTTCTACAAGGTAAATCCAGACTTGGGAGAGGAAATTTCTACTGCAGAAGAACACACATGCTGTCCTTTGTCATTGAGAATTATCCTGAGGAAAAGGGAAGTTAAGATCTACTTTTTCCTTCTCTTATTGTCTCCTGTCTACCCTCCCCAACCCAGGTGTTCTACCTTACTTGGGGTGTGCTGCAGGAAAGAGTGATGACCCGAAGCTATGGGGCTACAGCCACATCACCAGGTGAGCGCTTCACGGACTCACAGTTCCTGGTGCTAATGAATCGTGTGTTGGCACTGATTGTGGCTGGCCTCTACTGCCTCCTCTGCAAGCAACCTCGACATGGGGCACCCATGTACCGGTACTCCTTTGCCAGCCTGTCAAATGTGCTAAGCAGCTGGTGCCAGTATGAAGCTCTCAAGTTCATCAGTTTCCCCACCCAGGTGCTGGCCAAGGCTTCTAAAGTGATCCCTGTCATGCTGATGGGAAAGCTGGTGTCTCGACGCAGCTATGAACACTGGGAATACCTAACAGCTGGACTTATCTCCATCGGGGTCAGCATGTTTTTGCTGTCCAGTGGACCAGAGCCCCGTAGCTCCCCAGCCACCACACTCTCAGGCCTCATCTTATTGGCAGGCTACATCGCTTTTGACAGCTTCACCTCAAACTGGCAGGATGCCCTGTTTGCCTATAAGATGTCATCAGTGCAGATGATGTTTGGGGTCAATTTCTTCTCCTGCCTCTTCACAGTAATCTCGCTGCTACAGCAGGGGGCCCTCCTGGAGGGGACCCGCTTCATGGGGCGACACAGTGAGTTTGCCGCCCATGCCTTGCTACTGTCTGTCTGTTCCGCATGTGGCCAGCTCTTCATCTTCTACACCATTGGGCAGTTTGGGGCTGCTGTTTTCACCATCATCATGACCCTCCGTCAGGCCATTGCCATCCTTCTTTCCTGCCTCCTCTATGGCCACACTGTCACTGTGGTGGGTGGGCTAGGGGTAGCTGTGGTCTTTGCTGCCCTTCTGCTCAGAGTTTATGCCCGAGGCCGGCTAAAACAACGGGGAAAGAAGGCTGTACCTATGGAGTCTCCAGTGCAGAAGGTCTGAAAAGATAAGGACCTGAGAGGTGAAATGTAATAGGACCCTCAACATACTTTCAGAGGTGCTGGCTCAAGGGCAAAATATGGGTTTTCTCATCATAAACCAGCTCTGCAGCTGGGGATGGGGAGCCCAGAAGGGGATGGGGAGCCCAGAAGGTATCTTCCCTTTTGCCTTAAGCCACCATCCTCCAGTAGGCAAGTTGAGCCTCAGGGTAGAAGGAGGTCTTGGGGTATGGATGTGTAAAGGGAAAGCTCCTCCATCAAGCTTTTAGTAGTTTTGACCCACTTGGTGGCTCTGCTACCAGCAACTTATCTGCTTGCCCCCTACCTTCTATATACTCTCATTTCTTACTGTTGAGAGAAGCACAAGTATTGTAGGGTCCAAATGCTGCTTACCCAGGAGGGCAAGTAAAGATGGTAGTGCCAAGGGAGGTGAATGAAGAGCCCTGCTCAACATAACTATGCCCTTGGGGTCCTAGGCTCTGCTCCATGAGCCAATTAGAGGTTTTGGTACTTCGGGAAATGTCACTTTTTGCTCTTATAATTTTATTAAAACTGCTGCAATGGACTTGGTTCTGTGTTTTGGTTGCCTTAAGTGACTGAAATGAGAATGTACATATACCTTTCAAACTAGCATATAACCCAGGTAAACAGCCAGTTTTTATGAAGCAGCAATATCATCCACTTTACAAGGGAGAGCAGAACTGTATAAAACTGCATCTTCTTTATTTTGCATACTTTAATTGTGGAACAAAATAAAACAAAAACACAATACAACATCCAACCCTACGGCCAAACTAGGTAGGGGATGGAGGGCTTGAGGCCCTTATTTCCTGCCTTAATTAAGATGCCAAGGACAGGAGAAAAAAACACTATTACACCAATCAGCAGAGGAAGCCAGGTGGGAGAGGGCCACTCAAGGCTACTGTGGGAGCCATGGGGAAACTATACAGAGGGCAGATTTCTCAGTAGCAACTCCTAATCTACTTCTTCCATGCGAGATGCATCCTCATCACCCTCGAGAGGGGGTATCTCATCAGGAACAGCACTGCTGGGTTCCTCTGCTGTCACTTCATCTTCATCAATGCCTAAATGTAAAAAAAAAAAAAGGCCCCGTGAGATGTGAACTGAAGAGCATTAAACAAAATCTGTTCAAAAGGTCAGTTCCAGAACTTGCCCCCACATCAAATCAGTCGACGGTGCCTACCTAGGCCTAGCTTTATCATGCGGTAGATGCGATTGGAGTGGGTCTGGGGATCCTCAAGTGAGAAGCCAGAAGAGAGCAGCGCAGTTTCAAATAGCAGCACCACCAGGTCCTTGACAGCCTTGTCATTTTTATCTGCCTCTGCCTTTTGCCGCAATGTCTCCACAATGGGGTGATCAGGGTTGATCTCCAGGTGCTTTTTGGCCATCATGTAGCCCATTGTGGAGTTGTCTCGAAGTGCCTGGGCCTTCATAATCCGCTCCATATTGGCTGTCCAGCCATAGGTGCTGGTAACAATGCAGCAGGGTGAAGACACAAGCCTATTGGAGATTGTCACCTGTAGACAGTTAAAAAAAATTTTTAGTGGAGCATGGTGCAAACCCGTAGTCCTGACTCTTCCAAGAGACTTAAGGCAGGAGAATCACTCCAACTGAGGAGTTTGAAGACTGCCTGAGAAGCACAAGGAGACCCTCTCTTAATAAACAAACAAAAAAACCCCTTAGGTTTAGATTGGATCATCTGAAAGGTAAAAATTATGGTCCATATTCTTTTAAGTTTCTATGTTCCCAAACACAGGAATTAATACCTAATCTCCATCAAATTTTGTATAATGGACTAAGAGAAATAAGACCTTGCTGAGCCAGGTGGCATATGCCTATAATTCCAGCCACTTGAGAGGCTGAGGCAGAATAATGAGAGTTCAAAGCCAGCTTCAGCGAAACAAAGCACTAAGCAACTCAGTGAGATCCCCTCTCTAAATAAAATACAACACAGAAGTGGGGATGTGGCTCAGTGGTGCAGGACCCTGAGTATGGTACTCACAAAAATGGGGGGGGGGGCTTAAACAGAGTAAACCTCCTAATCAGCAACATTAAATTCCGAAAAACAGCAGCCCCCAAAGAGAGATTACAAAAATGTATCATAGTCCCCAAACTTCTCACCTTCTCAACCTTTTTATCCAAGATTTCTTTCATAAGCTTGCAAAGGTTCTCAAATTTCGCCTTGCTCTCCTCCATTTTCTTTTTTTCCTCCTCATCCTCAGGTAGCTCCAGGCCTTCCTTGGTCACAGAGACCAGGCTCTTCCCATCAAACTCCTTGAGTTGCTGTACACAGTACTCATCAATAGGCTCAGTCATATATACTACCTCAAAGCCACGCTTCCGCACACGCTCCACAAAAGCAGAGTTGGCCACCTGCTCTTTGCTTTCACCTGTAAGGTTGTTTAATGTGACTTAGTGACCAAAAGGACTTACACTGCCAGTTTCCAGTTAGCCCTGATGTCCATCCAACCCCAATTAGGAGGCTTTGATCAGACTTAAGGTTTTAACTCACCAGTAATGTAATAGATGGACTTCTGTGTCTCCTTCATGCGAGAGACATACTCTGACAGAGAAGTCATCTCATCTCCAGACTGAGAGGTGTGGTAGCGCAGCAGCTCAGAAAGGCGTCGCCGATTAGTAGAATCTTCATGGATTCCAAGCTTAAGGGTAGGAGGAAACAAAATAATCCACCTTAACAGATAATATCCTTCCTCTCCAATAAATGAGGAAATACACTCTCATTAGTAAGAAAGTGGTCAAGACCAACCTCAGCCAACATAGTGACATCCTATCACAAAAATAAAAAGGGCTGAGCTTAGTGGTAAAGGGCCCCCAAAAAAATAAATGTCAAAGGGAATAAGCATTTGCCTCTATACCTTAAGATTTTTAGAGAATGCCTCATAGAATTTTTTGTAGTTCTCCTTGTCTTCTGCCAACTCAGAGAAGAGCTCAAGGCACTTCTTCACAATGTTTTTGCGAATAACTTTCAAGATTTTGCTCTGCTGGAGCATTTCTCGGGAGATATTCAGGGGCAGATCCTCAGAGTCAACAACACCACGAATAAAATCTGCAATCAAATGGCAGAAAATTCAATACAAACAACTAGACCCAAACTGGTCACCCAGATTCAAGCAGAAGGCTCTTTTGCTCCCTGAACCTTCACTTACTATTACCCTCCTCAGACTATAATCCCAGGAGAACACTGCAGATCTCAAACTGCAGATCTCAAAAGACTTTACCCCCTATAACAGACACAGGAGACACTCACTGAGATACTCTGGTATCAGCTCATCACAACTCTCCATGATGAACACACGACGGACATAGAGTTTGATGTTGTTCTTCTTCTTCTTGTTCTCAAAGAGGTCAAAGGGAGCCCGCCGAGGGATGAACAGCAATGCCCTGAATTCCAACTGACCTTCTACAGAGAAGTGCTAGGAGAAAAACCCAACATTTCAGGACAAGAGTGCTTTTCAGTCACACCAAAGCATCTACAACTGGAATGCTACATACCTGAAGAGCCTCCATAAGGAGAAAAAAAAAAAAGACCCTGAACCCTAAAGCCAATAAATCTTACATTGTCCTAGCTATATATAATCTTGTTGAATTAAGAGAATAGTTCTCCAGTCAGAACCCTGTTATGTGTAAGGCTGCCATTGACATTACCCAGATTTCTATTAAAAGACAAAAGCGAAGTCATTCGGGAGAACAGAATCTCTCTACTGTGGCAGGGTCACTAGTAAGTGAACTCATGTGGCTCCATGACTCTCAGTCTCAGCTACCAACCAGTTGGGCAAGTTCACTGTGGACTCTTACTATCTACCAATACACACTTCTACCTGTTTCTCTCCAGCTGAGCCCACATATAAGGTTTCTCACCTTGACTGCCAGGTGGTCTTCCCAATCATTGGTTAGGCTCTTGTAGAATTCTCCATATTCTTCCTGAGTGATGTCATCAGGGTTTCTGGTCCAAATGGGCTTGGTCTTGTTCAGTTCTTCTTGATCAATATATTTCTCCTTAATCTTCTTTGTTTTCTTCTTCTTATCCTTACTAGTGTCATCCTCCTCATCTGAGCCCACATCTTCAATCTTGGGTTTCTCCTCATCATCTTTATCTTCCTCTTCTTTCTCACCTTTCTCTTCCTCTGCCTCATCATCACTGATTTCCTTCTCTCGTTCCTTCTCCAACTAAAGTACCAAACATAGTGGTTAAGCGTGAAAAACACAACACCAGGAAAACAAAGCCAGGGACCACAAAACTCCACAACCACAGACACTCAGTGCAGATGGGCTGCCAGCCTGGTTGGTACTCACATAAAGGGTGATTGGATAGCCTATGAACTGTGAGTGCTTCTTCACCACTTCTTTGACACGCCTCTCCTCCAAGTACTCTGTCTGGTCTTCTTTGAGGTGGAGAATGACTTTAGTACCCCGGCCAATGGGCTCACCTAGAAGAATCAATCAATCTCAATAAAGTATAAAGCTGTGAGGCTAAAAGCATCAATGATTTTAAAAGAAACTCTCCATGCCGGGAGCAGTAGTGCACACCAAAAATCGAGGAGGATTATGAATTCAAAGCTACCCTCAGCAAAAGCGAGGCACTAAGAAACTCGGCGAGACCCTATCTCTAAACACAAAATAGGGTAGGGATGTGACTCAGTGGTTAAGTGCCCAAGTTTAATCCCAAGTACCCAAAAAAAAAAAAAAAAAAGAAAGAAACTGCTCCACAAATACCATACTCAAGATTTCTATCTTTTCTTCCAGAATTCTAACCCAGCTATTTCCATATGGAAAGCCAACTCACCATGATCAGCCCGCACAGTGAAAGATCCCCCAGCAGAAGACTCCCAAGCATACTGTTCATCATCATTATGCTTTGTGATCACAACCACTTTCTCTGCCACTAGATAAGCAGAATAAAATCCAACACCAAATTGCCCAATCATGGATATGTCTGCACCAGCCTGCCAAAGAATATTTTTAAAAATCAAATATGAGATTTGAAACAGCAAGACAAAAAAAAAATCCTAAATTTTAATATGTGCATAGATGGAGTGCTACATACCTGAAGAGCCTCCATAAATGCTTTAGTTCCAGACTTGGCAATGGTTCCCAAGTTGTTTATGAGATCAGCCTTGGTCATGCCAATGCCTGTGTCCACCAAAGTCAGAGTCCTTTCCTGAGGGTTGGGGATTATGTCAATTTTCAGCTCTTTACCACTGTCCAACTTGGAAGGGTCTGTCAGGCTCTCATATCGAATCTTGTCCAAGGCCTGTAAACATGAAATGACACATTTTTTTTTTATAGTCCATCTCTTCACCCCCCTACCCCACCCCACCCCCGCAAATCTTGGTTTTCTACTTCCATATAGCCTCAATTCTGCTATCCCTTAGATCTTCAGACCAACAGTTACATTATCCACTTCTTGGTGTCTTCAAAGTGTGATAGCCACCCAGAATACAGCAAATTTTTTTGGAACAGCTGCTGATTTATCTCAAACAGTTGCAGCTCCCACCACTTCAATCTATCCCTTCTCCCTCTTCT